CCGGCCCGGCCCGGCCCGGCCCGCCCTCACCTGCCCAGTGCAGCCCCGGACACAGGCGGCGGCTCGCGGCGGCCTCCTCCGGCGGCCATGAGGCAGCTCCCGGCGCCGGCAGCGTGTTGACGAGGCGCCCGCCAGCCCTCCCCATGACTGGGCCTGCGGCCGAGAGGAGCCCCGCGGAGCGCGCCCTCCCAGCGCTGCGTTTCCCAGTGGAAGTCGCCTGCGGGGGGTCTAGCGGTGGCTCTCAAGTGGGCCGGAGCCTGGGTCGGAGTGGATCCCGACCAGGCCAGCAGGGGGCATGCCGGCCGGGGACGCCTTTGGCTGCCGATGAGCGCGGGCGCCGTTTGCTTGTCATTGCATTAGGGGAACCTGCAGCAGTTCACAGGGCCGTGGAGCCTCCGCATAACCCGCATCTGCTGCCAAGAACTCAAGGAAGATTCTTTCCAAAATGGCACAGAAGCCACACAAGCCAGGCAGGAGTGTAGGAGCATGCATGGGTGGGCAGGAAGGAGCAAGCCCTCCCTCTGCACCATCGGTCCCCAAAGTGAAGTGTGGGCGCCACAGCCATACAGCACTTTATGCCCTGGGGAGCACACCATCTGCTGCCCGGCCACACCTGCCGCCTGAACAGTACTGGCACCTCCAGCGAAAAAATAGTTTGCAGATTCCAAACATCTGTTGCCAATAACTTCCTCCAACAGAAAGTGGAGGAAGGAATAAGAGAAACTGCTGTCCTTGGCTTGATTCTAACCAACAGGGAAGACCTAGTGGCAACCATGGGAATTCTGGGGGAAAGTGACTGTGCCATGCTTGAATTCTTGATTCTAAAGGAAGCAAAAACCAAATGCAGCCAAACACATGCCCTGGATTTCAAGAAAGTCAATTTTAATCAACTCAGAACAATAAGCCAAGTCTCATGGCAAGTGACTCATGAGAAAAGAAGTCCAACTCGGGTTGGAATTTAAAAAATCTAAAGGAACAATTACAAACAATTCCTATAAAGAAAAAGGATGAAAAGCAACAGAAGAAGCCTCACAAAAAGCTTAGAGATTATCTGAAAATAAAAGAGAGGAATAGGAAGTGGAAAAAAGGCCAGGCTACAGGCCAGGCCAGGAAGAATACAGGCAGGTGGCACGAAATTGCAGGGATGGTATCGGGAAGGCTAAATCTAGGAATAAACTGAGGCTAGCAAGGGATGCTAAAAGCAATGTCCAAAGATGAAAGAAATGGTTCAACTGCTCCGTGTGGATGACAAATGGTAGCAGATGACAGAGAAAAGGCCAAAGCACTCAATTCCTACTTGGCTTGGTCTTCACCCAAAGAAGGTCTACGGCCTTCCTGATGAAGGGGAAGTACAAGCTGAAGGAGCAGGGCGGCAGCTCAAGATCGATAGCCAAACGGTCAAGGATCATCTAATTGGGTTGAATGGGTTCAAATCTCCAGGGCTGATGAACTCCATCCTAGCATCATGAAGGAGCTGGCAGAAGAACTCTTTTAAGAACCACTGTTCTTCAAGAAATCATGGATGACGGGGGGAGTACCAGATGACTGGAGAAGGGCCAATGTTATTCCTGTCTTTGTGGGGCGGGGGGGGGGGCAACCACCTGGAAACTACAGAGCAGTCTAACATCAATCCCTGGGAAAATTCTGGAGCAGATTATAAAGCAATCGCTCTGCAGACACCTTGAAAACAATGCAGTGATTACTAGAAGCCAACATGGATTTGTTAAGAACAAATCCTACCAGACTAATCTGATTTCATTTTTTGATTGGGTAACCTTCCCGACGGACTGAGAATGCAGTGGACATAATCTATCTAAACTTCAGCAAAGCTTTTGACTAACTGCCCCATGATGTCCTGATTAGAAAACTAGCTAAAAGTGGGCTAGATGGAACAATGATCGGGTAGATCTACCGTTGGCTAAAGAACTGGACACAAAGAGTGCCCGTCAATGGCACCTTAAACTGGAGTACTGCAAGGGTTCAGTCCTGGGGCCAGTGCTCTTCAACATTTTTATGAATGATTCAGATGAGGAAGTGCAGGGAACAATTGTCAAATTTGCAGATGACACAAAACTGGGTGGGAGAGCAAATAGATGAAAAGTGATCTTGATAAGTTGGAGCACTGGGCTGAAAACAATGGAATGGAATTTGGTGGGAACAAATGCTAAGTTCCGCACCTAGGAAAAAGAAACCAAATACATCGTTACAAGATGGGGAATACTTGGCTCAGCAATACTGCAAATGAGAAGGATGTTGGAATTGTTGTGGATCTCAAGCAGAATATGAGTCAACAATGGGATGTGGCTGCGAAAAGGGCAAATGTTATTTTAAGCTGCATTAATAGAAGTATCACTTCAAAATCACTAGTTCCCCTCCACTCAAGCACTGCTTAGGGTTAGGCTACTGTGTCCAGTTTTGGGCATTGGTTTAAGAAAGACACAGGCAAGCTGAAAAGGGTTCAGGAGAGGGCAACAAGGATGATCCAGGGACTGGAAACAAAGCCCTGTGAGGAGAGATTGAGAGAACTGGGCATGTTTAGCCTTGAGAAGACTAAAGGGAGATATGATAGCACACTACAAGTACTTGAAAGGTTGTCTCAAAGGACAGGATCTCTTCTTGATCACCCTAAAGTGCAGGACATGGAATAATGTGCTCAAGTTACAAGAAGACATTTTCTGGCTTATCAGTTAAACTGTCCTGTCAGAGCAGTCTGACAATGGAACCCATGACTTGGGAGGTGGTGGGCTCCCCCACACTACAGCCATTCAAGATGCGGCTGAACAGCCATCAGAGAGAGACAGTTTTACTTGGAGTTTTGCACTGAACAGAGTCCCATTCTAACTCAATTCTTCTATGGTCAAGGATGCTGGAATGCAGGCTGTTGCTTCAGGATTTCCTGAATTGTCATGACAACTAGCTGCAGCCTAGCACTCTCCAGATTGAATTCCACAAATCATTTACTTACACGGGGCTATTCAGAAAGGCACAGGGTTTTAAATGGCGTGTCTGTATTCATTACCATCATTTTAGAAGAATCAACTGCCTGCCTGCTCCCAAGGCACATTCAAGGGTCCTTTTTAAAGCTCCAGAAGGCATGGGACTCAAGTACCTGAATGTTTGGGAAGCTCTTCTGAAGCTCTTCTCAGGTTCCCCTTGCACCTAAGCTGTATCACACGAATACACAGGCGAAGGCATTCTCAGCTGCAGCAGCCCCTCAGTGGGAGATCCTACTTGATCATGATCCTTTTGGTGCTGTATAAAGAGGTGCTTATTTTCCTAGGAATGCCAATTTGCTGTTGTATTAAAAACATGGTTTTAACTCAGAAGTGCTGGACTGCGGGTGGCACAGTGGTTTAAACTGCTGAGCTGGTTGATCAAAAGGTCAACAGTTCGAATCCGCAGCCAGGGCGAGCTCCCGTGCTTTGTCCCAGCTCCTGCCAACCTTGCAGTTCAAAAGCATATAAATGCAAGTGGATGACTAGGTACCAATTCGGTGGCAAGGTAACAGCAATCTGTGCACCTCGGTGTTTAGTCATGCCGGCCACATGACCACAGAAACTGCAGACAAACGCTGGCTCCCTTGGCTAGGAAATGGAGATGAGCACCACCCCCTAGAGTCAGGCATGACTGGACTTAATATAAGGGTAAGGGAAACCTTTACCTTTTTAATGTTTTAAAATAAATTATTTTTCAGTTGTGAAAGAACTTGACTTGCGACCTGAAGAGTACAATCTTGTTTTAACCACGCACAAATGCCTCTCAATGCCCAGTGCTGGGAAACAGCAGCAGTGGCCACATTCTGCTGGACTAGAGGACTTTGGCCTGATCTTGCTTCAGACCTCTTCTTACGTCCCACCTTCCTGCAGGCACTGTGGCTCAGTGATAGCAGCACATTATGTCCCTTGTACTTGTGGATGAAAGGAATTGTGAAGCTACTTATGGGGGGCCAGTTGCTCACTCCACCTCCAACCTGTCATGGAAAACCTTAAGCCATAAACAGATCTGTAGGCACTCTTCAAAAGTCACATTCCACACATTCAGTCAGCACACTTCCTGGATTTCACTTCAACATTTCAAAGCATTACAATTCTGATTCTGAAATCCAGTTTTCTAGCCAAAGTGTGTGTGGGGGAAGTAAAACAACAAAACTCCCACACAGCTCTTAGCTTGATGAAATTTGCTGAATTCAAACAGAATTCAGGTGTGGCTGAGCATCACACCTCAGGTCTGGATGATGGGGCAGTCTGGGTGCAATTCCTTCCCCCAACACAGGGTGGGCTGGTGTGGCACTCCCACCCAAGAGCCCCTGGGGGAGTTGCTGCTTTATTTAAACACAGCTTCCTGGATTAAAGAATGGGCCGGACGTCTGGTGCTTTTCCGATAGCACATGTTCACTAAAGGTGCTTCTGAAGGTTCCCAACCACCCTTATTTGACATTCTGAGAATTTCCAAGCTTTTCTGCTGCCCCTTTCATACACTTGTTTCACACTGTAGAGACCAAAGTTTCCTTGACAGGTCAAGCCGGAGGCCATTTCTCAGGAAAGGTGCAATTCATGGCCTATTTTGAGCCCTCCCTTCCCTTGCCTCCTTTATTAAAGCTGGCGCTGCAACACTGTTTAAAGTTCAATGAATGTTTTTATTGTAATCCAAAAGTAACAGAACAGGGCTGTAATGCATTCTGCAAGTCCTCCTGCTGAGAGTTTGAACTGATACCAGACCCTTTCATTGTTTTCCTGACAGGCAATCTTTAAAAAAAGTGTGAAATTTCACAGTACAGTAAACTCCACCCAAACTAATTTAACGGTGGTTAAAAATAAGATGCCCCAAATTAAAATAAAATTAAAAAAAATCCTCCACCCTCCCTCCCCCATATTACATGGTCACAACTCACAAGTCTGTACAAAATGTTCACTTTATAAAGCTCTGATGTAAAAATCAAATCAAGCAGCAATTGTGTAAGTGCAGCACAGGGCCTGTCATGGCATTATTTACAAGGCTCTTGTTTGTCTACATTATAACAAAATTTCATATAGGTGACTTAGTCAAGTCAGTTCAGTTCTGCCCCCCAACCATTCTGCTTTCTAGAGAGGGACAGATTTTGCTTTTTGGTCATCTCCCTTCTCTTTGTCTTTGTCTTTGTCTTTCTCCTTCTCCTTCTCTTTGTCTTTCTCCTTCTCCTTCTCCTTCTCTTTGTCTTTGCTCTTCTTCGACTTCTTCTTCTTGTGTTTATGTTTTTGGCTTCTCTCTGCATCCGACTCGGTTCCGGTGTGTTTCTTATGCTTCTTGTGTTTTTTGTGCTTCTTGTGCTTCTTCTTGTCCTTCTTCTTCTTCTTCTTCTTGCTGTCCTGGCTGTCTGCAGAGCTGGCGCTGCTGCTACGGCTTCGGCCTTGGCTTTCTGAGGGACTCTGGCTGCGGCTGCGGCTGGGGCTGGGGCTGCTTTGACTTTGGCTCCGGCTTCCGTCAGGCTGGGCGCCCAGCTCTGCCCCTGCAGCCTCTTTCAGTTTCTCACTGGCCTTGTCCTTCCCATCTCGGGCATTTCTGCCTGGGGACTCCTCCTGTTTTGTGGATACGTTACTGTCAGTGTCACTTTCATTGTAGTCTGGGACAAAAGCAGCCTCGTCCGTTTCCCTTGTTGGGTCAGAGGAGAGCCGGGAAGAGTGGCTGGGCTGAGGCTTTGGCTTGACCGTAGTACTCTTGTCATTCTGCACAGTCGCTTGCTCTTTTGCCTCCGGGGAGCTTCGTCTATGCAAGGATTTGTTCCCACCCATCACCTTCTCCTTATTGCTCCAGGTCTCAGATGATGGGCGTTTCTCCTTCTCCTTCTCCTTGCCTGCGCTCGCCTCCTGGGACTTGTGCTCTGCTGAGCGCCTAGAGTCATAGGCAGCTTTGTGACCATTCTGCCTTCGGTCCCGGGGAGGGCTGTAACTGCTCCGTTTCGAGTCCCATGCATCCTTTTTGGGCTGCTCTGTTCGCTCATCTCTGTTCTTATTCTTCAGTGCAGAGGTGGCTGATTCCCGGCCACGAGAAGGTGAGACCTTTTTCCGGACAGGCTCACTCCTTTCTTCTCTTCTCTTTGCACCTGAATAGTCTCGGCTGCTGTCATAGTCAGACTTTTTGTCCCGGCTAGGAGTGAAGTCCTTCACAGAGGACCCATGGCCAGATTCATGTTTATCGGAAGACCTGCTCTCTCTGGAAGAGTGAGAAGAGCAGCTCTTTAGATTCCCTTGATCAGCACCATGTTCAGACCGTTCTTTCTCTGGTGGGCCTCCACTCTTCCTCTTTTCAGAAGATTCTCTGTCAGATGCAGCATGATCCCTGTCTTTGGCCTTTCCTTTATCGTTTGATGCCAGAGTTTTAGAACTTTTGGATTCAGGCTGTGAACTCTCGTGCCCAGACTCTTTTGTGGTTCTCTGATTTTTCTCTAAGTGCTCAAGATCCCTCTCATTGTGTTTGATGGAATTAGATGGCTTTGTGCTGACGTTCTTTATGACACTGGTGGGTTTCCCGACAGCAGATTGTACCTGTGTGGCTTTAACATCTTCCTCTTCCTCCTCCTCAGAGTCAAAATCATCTTTATCCCACTTGGACTGTGGGACTTGGATCATGATGATGACATCTTCAGCAGGGGCTGTGATATCATTGTTGTACTCTTCCATAGTCTTGATTACAGTGCGCTTTATGTCTAGCTTATCTTCCGACTTTCTCACAGGGCTGCCTCCAGCAGAGCTAGTGCTAGACAAACCAAAACAAAAATTTTATTGTTATGGGAGATATCAAGGTGACATTGCTTAATTTCAATTTTAGATTGTGGCAATATGTACATTTTCAGAGCCAAAGCCTCCACTATGGTATCTTGCCACAAAGGCATTCATCAAGCTGTAACGGATATGGCAATTTCTTTTTCACCTGGGGGTTACTTTCTCTCATGAAAGCTAGGTTCCAGGGTCTGTATAAGTACATTTCACTACAACAAAGAAGCATTTAATTCTAGATCAACAAAATGTGCCTTCACTAAACTGACCCTAGCAGCCCACACACATTGCAATAGAGGGAACGAAGTGGAAATTAAAGGGGCAAGGGTCTATTCCCAGGTGAAAAGAAACTCTGCTCTACCAACCAACATCTTCGCAAGTCGTATTTCCCTCTGTGTCACAAGCCAAGGGTAGACTGACTGCAAAATGGTGGCTGCAGTGGAAATAGTTTCATACAAAGGCCAACGTCACGCTGCTGGGCTGGAGACGGGGGACAAAAGGGCATGGCCCATTCTGGACTGTTTGGAAGCAGAGGGCAACTGATCTGTCCCTGAAAGAGGGACAGAACTTGGTCCACACCCAGCTAACATCAGCTACTACCATCCTGCTTCCAGGTTAATTTAAGACAAGTTTAATTGAAGCATTTGACAAGTTTGTGAGATCAACACAACATGGGCAGGAAATATAACCTATTTCTCATTTCTAGTCAGAAGGTACCTGGTATAATCAACCAGTGTGGAACCAGATCCATCTGCTGCTGCAATTTTTCTCCTTAGCTTCCCTTTTGTTTTGTCTTGCTTCACTTTGTTACTGGCTGGCTCAGGTTTTTCAGTTGAAGCTTCTTTTACGGGCGGAATGGCTTCGACATTAGCAATCTTTTTCCCAGTTTCTCTGTTCAGCTTAATCTTTTTTGTTGGGGCAACTGGCAAAACAGTTTTATCCTTTTCAGGAGTCCGCTCTGTTTTTTCACCTTCTGGCTCAATTTTCCCCTTTGGCAAAGGTTTCAGTTCTGTGACTTCTTGTTTGGATGGTTTTAGAGAGGTGGCTTCAAGTTCCTTATCTACTTTTTCCTCAATCTTTCTTTTCCTTTTTTCTGGTTTTGCATCTACAGGCTTGTTTTTGTCAATGGGTTTCTTTAACTTTTCTTCCTTGCCAGAAGGCTTTTCCTGCTTCATTTCCTTTGGGTGCTCCTTCTTTGCCTTCTCCTCCTTGACCGACCTGGTTTCCAGATGTTCTTTTGCACCTCGGGGATGAACTTTACGTGGTGTATTCAGCGGCTTCTCATCTTTTTGAGAGGATGATGTCTTCGTACCATCAGCCTTTGCAAACTCCTCCTTTGCTTTTTTTGCAGGAGGGTCAGCCCGTGGGGACTTTTCACGATCAGCTTCTGCTTTTTCTTGGACTGCTTTAGCTGGCTTCACTTGCACCTCTTTCTTGGTAGTGACAGCACCTTCGACTTTTCTCTTTGTCTTTTCAGGTTTTGCCTTGGGCTTTTCTTTCCTTTCCTTTTCAGTAACGGGTTTAAAGGCAACTGAATCTGCTTCCATAGGTTCATCCCGGACAGGAGTAGCATCATCCCTGCTTGAAAGCATGAAGAGCGGGTCAGGTTTGCTGTCCTCCCCAGTGGCAGCATCTCTTGGCTTTCGTGAACCTTCCAAGAGGTCAGCACCGGGGAAGCCATCTCCTTCTTCACCCTTCCTTCTCTTCCGGTGTTTCTTATGTTTATTTCCTTTTGCATCTCCTGGTGGGTTTTCCGCATCCTTGTCTTTCAGTTTTGCCATATCTTTCATGCTGTGACCCTCTCTGGCTGGCACTTTGTCAGAGTAGCCACCAGCTACATTTCGATTTCGATGACCTAATCCTCCAGGGTAATCATCTCTACGACCCCGAATGTAAGGGGAATTCTCTCGCCTCGGTCCAGGAGGACCAAATCGCTCGGGAGAGAAGTTCTCTCTGTTGAGCAGAGGTCTGGGTTGTCCTCCAGTTGCAATGCCCTTGTAGTATATCTCGTACCATTCTCTGTAGGTCTCCCAGTCACGGTATCGCTCTTTCTCAAGAGGGTCTCTCATGTCCATAGATCTGCCATAGTATGTTTTCATATCGTAATGTGGGATTTCTCTGTATCGACCAAAGTACTCTCGTTCTCCCTCTCCCTGAGGAACAGTGCGCTTATTAGGGGACTGGCCTCTGTACCCTGGAGACCTTGATCGAGAATGGTATCTTCGGTAGGGGGGTGACCGAGATCTTGATCGATGGTATCCATGCGATCTTGACCTAGAGCGGTAGTTTCGGCTCTTACCCCTGCCTCTCCGTGGGTAGGGGGGTGATCGTGAATAGGAACGGGAATGGGAGCGACTGAATGATCGCGAATATGATCGAGAGCGGGATGACCCAGACCTTGACTTGGAATAGGTATAGGAACTTCTTGAATATGAAGATGCACTGAATGGCGATTTGGACCTTAAAGCAAGAAAAAAAGCAATGCTGTGTGAACCTGCAACCTCTCTGCTTTTGTACAAATTGTGCTGCACAGCAGACATACACAGGAACACGCATTTTCTGTCATAAAACCCATCATGGCTCAAGCCCAGCTAAACGGCACCATTAACAGGACTGCTCTGGACATACCAGAGCAGCTTCCCCCAACCTGAAGCCCTCCAGATGTTTTAGGCCAACTCCCATCAGCCTCACCCAGCACTGCCCATGCTCAGGAAAGCTAGGAACTGTAGTCTGGGAGTCCAGAGGCACCAGATCAGGGAAGGTTGCCTTAGAGTTTGCTTGTGCTCAGTGGGACCTTTTCAGTTTCTAGCACAAAAAGAGTGAAAGTCAGTCCCTCACTCTTCCCTTGGTTCCATTTCACAACCTGTTTTTGGAACTGCAGAAGGTTCAGAAATGATTTCCCAGTGTGCTGGGATGGCTGTTAGATGCAACATTTGAAGGCCTGCATGGCAAGCTCTGTGAAGCCAGAAGTTCCTTGGATGGTGGCCACGCACCGCCACATCTTCACTGCCAGCCAAATAACTATGGAATTTGTTGCTTGTGACTTAAATTGGCCAAGTAACTTCTTAGACCCACAAACATAAGACAACAGGGCTTTATTTGGACAAACTTTGCTTTAAAAAGTGCTGCCAAATGAATGCGGAACTCATTGCTCCTCAGAATCTTGGGGAAAATAAACTTCACCCTTAATGGCTGGAATTGCACCAGTGTTGAACTACAAGGCAACATCTGCAAATCCGAATCCTGTATGAGTCCGTGATTCATGCACCCCAATACAACTATGCAGAGTTACCTTGATCATGGGGGGGGGGCATGATTCAGATGCAGTGGGACTGCAAGTCTCATCACTATTGGCTATGCAAGCTTAGGCTGATGGGAGCTGGTGCCTCAATCCAGCAACATCTGGTGGGCCACAAGTTGCTCACCTTTGATTTGGCTGATTACTGTGTACCTGGAGAAGTTGCTGTTCTCTCCATCTCTACTACTCAAGTTCCTTAAAATGACAACAACCAGAAATGCCAGAGGATGAATGGGGGACTTTCCCAATTAAATGCACGCGCCCCATCCATTCAGCTCATTTATACATATGCAAGAAAAACAAGTACCGGGAATAAGAACGCCTGCGTTCCTTCTGGATTTTTTTATATTCCATCAGTTCTTTAGCAAAATCGTTTGTAAACTCATCAAGCTTTGACTTTTTCTTTTCCCTATTAAAATAAGAAAATTATTGCAATGGAATTGGGTATTGTTAAATGAAGCACTATTAGAACCAAACCAATGTGAAAAAGGTCACTGCATGCAAGTGAGAAATGAACATGCGACTAAGTAGCAAAAACCTGCACAAGGTTTTCAAGAGATGTCTGCTTTTTTCTAGAATTAACAATTTCCGGGTTTTTAGATCTGAAGGGTTATTTTTATTGGTAGTGAAAATCAACATTTGAAATCTCACGTTATATGTCATTTTTGCTTACAGCATACGCATTTTTAGCGTAGGTAAATCTGATACTCTACGGAAACAGAAGAATGAAATATAACGGAACTTCATTCAGAGCCAAATACTTACTCCTCTTTAAGTCTCCGTTGCTCTCTGTAAAACTCCTCCCTAGATAAAGGAGGTGCTTGTGTCGTTGGGATGGCATTTGAATGAGCCGTTGGTACTGGTGTTGGTACCCAGGGTGTTGATATGTTTGCTGGAGCTGGGGGGTATCCCGGAGGGGGGACAGTGTACCCAGCTGGTGGAGGCTGACCAGGTGGAAACTGAGGAGGAAACTGTGGTGGAGGTACCCCCGGTGGAAGAGGAAGTGCGTGGGGAGGAGGAGGATACAGGGGAGGTGGAGGCACGGGCACAAAGACCGGTGTTGATGCTGGCAGTGTTGGGGCCTGAGTCCTTTGTGTACGTTCACTATGCGGGCGTCCTCGGTTTGAACTTCTAAAGAAACCCAAAAACACGTTGTCACTGAGTGTTACACTTGTCCTTGTTTGCAAGAGGAACGTGAAACGGACAGCACCCCTCCGCAGCAACTGCCCATCAGCTGCCTATCTTACAGCTTATCCAGTCTAAATCGTTGTCTGCACCCCCCCCTCAGCTCAACTGTTTCACAGATGCTCCCTCAGTTTTGCAAGCACCCTCCCCATCACACTACATGCTTACCGCAGTTTTCCTCTTCCAAGCCTCTCATTCACATTAACTAATCTTCTGCTTCCTTAAGCACTTTCCATATAAGCGGTCCTATGCAGCTGCTGCTCCCACGTAAATCTCCACTGCACTTCTAGTGTGTTGTGTTGGCTGCTGAGGTTCTAAAGGCATCAGCACAAGCAGCCTGGCACCATAATGCTGACTTCCTCTGCCAGGCCTGAAGCAAGCTGACACCAGAGCTTTGATTTTTCTATTATTGCCCACTGGTGTAACTCAAAATTCTGAAGCTGCCTCCACAAATGCTAAAATTTGCTACCTGGGAATCTGAAGTATTTTTCTAGCTCTGTGCCCAACCATATGCTGCAAGCAAATCAGGACCACATCTTGCCTATTTTAGCCCAGTGATAGCTTTAATGTGTTGCTCAATAGTCAACTAAATCTGCAATACATTTGATTGAGTCCTTTAAGCTTTAGTTGATTTTTCCTTCAAAATTAAAGCACACAGACTTCCCTACGCATGTAAAAACAGCTCCTTGATATCATGTTCTAGACTTGCTACCTAAGAATATGAAAAATACATTGTTAAAGGAAACTTACGGTTCCCAGCCTGCTCTATTGCTTGCAGAGCGAACAGGGTTGCTTCTCATTGGCTGACCTGTGAAAAGGAAAAGTTGCTTTTAATGTAGGCATAAGCACTGTCACATTTAACAGGCAGGATCCTTGTCCTACGACTTACCCATAGTGGGTATTGAATGTCCATGAGAGACCAGCTGCCCCGGCAAGGCCGGCTGCCCAAGCACAGGAACCTGATAACCCTTCAGGAAGGAAAAGGAAGAGAATCAGATGCTGCTGCTCCTACTGAGACATATGAGAGAGTTTGGTGCTGAAACCAAGCTTACCTTCTCCTCTATCATGGGATTCATTGACAGTGAGGAAGGTGGTTTTGAGAGTTCTGAGGCGGTCGCTATAGCAGCAGCTGGTCCAATACCATCGCCCTCGCTGGAGTGAGATAAGCAAGAGTGAATGAGAGAAGGTCACTGTATAACTCTAGAAATGTCATCACATTTCTAATAGTCCTAAAGGGTATTAGAGATGAGTGAAAAGGCAGAAAAGAGCATCAACCACAATTAAGATGCTGAAATACCCTCCTTAGAAGCAGGAGCCTGGGGCTGTGTACCTGGAAGGAGATGACGGCCAAGACAAAATTGTCTGCTGTGTGTGGGAAGGGCTCAGAGGATAGGTGCAGCCAGAGCAACATGCATGCTGCCTTACAACTGCAGGACCAGCCTCCCCAAACCGGGATCGGTTGCCCCTGAATGTCTCAGCAGCACATAAGCACACCTATGAGGCTCAGTTTTTAAACACAGGTGCTTCAAGTTGCATGGCTTGCAAAGCCCATACAACTTTTTTGGGTCATCAAAAGCACCGCACCACACACAGTTCTGTTGAACTTTAACTGGCATCTGTGGCTCAGTTCAGGCAATCCTCCAAGCCCACCACCTGGAAGGTCATCGGCAACACGTGAGCCAGCCTGCTCCCTCCTGCACTCTCCAGCTTCTGCTTTAATGCTAATCATAGCCTGTCGTAGTAAAGTGGAAAACAACAGGACTGCTTCAGGGCTGCTCTCCAAAGTATGGTTCTCAAAGATCTTTACGTGAATATTTTGTTTGCAGCTAGTTTAATAGGAAGTACAGTGGTGCTTCGGCTCACGGACTTAATCCGTTCCAGGACTCTGGTCGTGACCCAAACTGGTTGTGAGCCAGGTCAAATTTCCTCATAAGGGTCAATGGAAATAAGGTTAATTCGTTCTGCAACTATTTTTTTTACTCACAAAAATGTGAAGCAAAGTGACAAAGAACAAAGATCGCAGCCATCTCCCCCGTCCCAGCAATCACGTGGGGAGGGGAGACAGGCGCGATTGTGGGCGCACTGGGGGGGGGAGGCGGATGCGGGTGCATTTGGGCAGGAGACACAGGTGCAATCACAGCCATCTCCTCTCCCCCAAGTATGAATGCAACCATCTCCCCTCAACACACACACACACACACCCCAGCACGACCGCAATCGTGCCCGTGCAGGGAAGGCAGGTGCGCTTGGGATCGTCACCCGATGCAGAGTTTGGGACCTGCAGCAACATTTTCATGCAATTCTTGTTCGGGACCCGATCTGGTAGTGAACTGAGGCATTCATGAGCCGAGGTACCACTGTATCAAGAGCTAGAGGAAGATCATCTCTTGTATGTCTCAGACTAACTTAGTTTGCATGATTGCTTTAGACTAAATGCTGCAAAGAGGAGCAGGACACATTTGTAGCCAATGATTAAGCTTTGGAAGATGCACAACCCAATACTCACCAGCACAGTCAGACTGCCCCTAATCCAAAATGTACAACCACTCTTTACAACATTAAAGCAGCATGGTTCTAAAACCACTCCATTTTAGCAGGCTGAATATAAACCTTGGATGTGAGATGGCTTACTTCTGATCTGGTTACAAGAACCCCGTTAAACCTGAAAACTACCCTGTGGCTCTAGAACAACCAAAAGAGTTCCTGAGATTCACACTGAGGGCCTCACAGTGGCTGTCTCCAGGGAGGAAGCTTTGGCACTAGCCATACGCAGCATCACAGGAGCCAGGGGCAACACAACCAGAAAGGAAGACCAAGGCGCACAGGCAATCTGGTGACCTCTGCTGGATGTACTGACTTACCGGAAAGGCCCTTCTGTCTTGTCTGCATGGATCACCATGGCAATTGGTGCAGAAGCGTCACTGGCAGATGCCGAGGCTGCCTGGCTGCCTGGCAATGCGGCTGCGGCTGAGGCTGGTACACCAGCAGCCAACGACACGGTGAGGGACGTGGCTCCATGGACAGGGGCAGAGGTGGCTGGGACTACAAGTGGATCCTGCTGCCTGGAGCCAGTCGGCCTTGGCACAGAAGGCATGTTTCTCTGGGCTGCCTGCCTGGGTGGCTGGGCCTGCTTGCGGAGCCTTTTTGTGTAGCCTGTTTCATTTTTGAAGTTGTTTACAGCCTAGAGGTGGAAAATTAACAAGGAAAAGAAATGAATCAATGCATCAACACTTCCTTAAAGAATAGCAAAACACCTGTGCTCCAGTAACAAAATCTAGTCTTTGCATTCTAAGAAGAAAACACAATTTCTTATTCTAAGCTTGCCAATGGCACCTCCTTTCCCACCGGACCAATAAAGCTGTTCAAGCAGAAGAAGGGGAAATATGTGTACACTCACTCACGGGTTCACACAGAATTTGCTACTGAAAGGTCTGAAGGTACCTGGCGTAAAAATTTGTTGGCAATTAGCGCATCGGGAGACACATCTGTCTGATGACAAGTTGGGCAAGTATGTTCCTCCGATTCTAGCAGTGATGTTCTGATACCTGTGAATAATTTTAAAATGCCATGTAAATCATGCAGTGCATGTATTTGAACCATACTGTGCAATTACGTGCACATGTACTAGCACAACTCCTAAGATTCACCGGCCTGAGAACAAATGTTCTCTGGGGAGATTACAAAACCTTAAAGACTAACATAATAAAAGCTAAAATAATGCAGTACAACAGGCCTGCTAATTAACCCACAATTTTCCAAGTCACACTCTGCTGACATTTTGAATATGCAATCTCCAATTAGCCCAAATATAAGCTCTTTTGTGATGTGTGAACACAGATACTATGAGCAGGTTTATGCATCATGCTAAGCCACCCTGCAAATAAACAGAGGTGAGCTGGTTGTTCACCAGAGAACAACACACAGTACACAAGAGACCATTAGGTTTGTTGTGACTGTTCTCCTCTTCCTCTCAGTCCTCCAGGTGGCTTCAGCACAGATCCCAGGCACCCTTGCAGAAAATCCATCTGGTTCTGCAGCAGCACCTTTCCTGCTTCAATTGCTATAGCTTTTGGTCACTTTAAAAACTTGCCTGGTCAACTTCCTTGTATTTATCAGCTGTCAATAGGACTGGCAAAGAGGAGTAGGTAACATTTAAAAAACTGGCAGGTTGAGGATGCACACAGGCTAATTTTCACACAGTGGCAAAGCGGGAGAAAGGATGGTTAAGAAGAGGGAGGGACAAAACACAATTCAGAAACACTGGGAATAATGGGGGGGGTGAATGGAGTATATGCACCAAAAAGGAGGGGACCGCAACCCCTGCTGGTAATGCCATCCTCTTGCTTGTAAGTACTGAACTGATTTTTTGTTTTGTTTTGCTCCTCCCATTCAGTACTGTCCAAATTCTCCAGCACGTGAGGTATTTTTGGTGCTCATTCTCAGAGCAGTAACGGCAGGTGTTGTAGTGGTTTACCATAGTGTCATACTGCTGTTGAGAACCAGGGTAAGGCACGACGGTCTGTTCGAGGGTTTCTCCCATCCCTGATCGCTCGCTATATTGCCTGAACTCAGATATCCCACAAACACAAGCCATCTTGGGGAAAGCCTCCAGACAATCAGCCACCTGGCAAGAACAAAGCACCTAGCTGGACAGTTCAGCTTGCAGTTGTCCAGCTTGTGGCAGCTTCCTGCCCCTCCACACCTGCACGGAATCAGCCATCTGTGGAGCCGTGCTGCTCTGCCTGGCAACACGGCCCAGCAGTTCCCCCTCTACCATTCATGTCCAAGGCGCTTCCTTTCCTGCGTAGTGTGGGAATCACCTGGACAGCTGCCTAGCTGATCCTCGCCACTTGCTGCACTTGAGAGTTTCTTCCAACTAAAGTGGCGAAGGGGGCATGGCCCAGGTGGTGATGCGCCAAGAAAGGAGCTTCTCCACCAGGCCTAGCCCTTCCTTCCCTGCTTCGGTTCAAGAGAAAGCCATTGAAGCAGGAGAGGCCAATCGGCTGAGCAATGCCGGTCCCAACCCTGGCAGTGTCATCCTGTGGATTGCCTCCCCCATGTCCCCACTGAGAGGTGTCCTCTCAGGCCGGAGCAGAGAATCAGCTGAACCATGCTGCCCCACTGTCCAGGACACCCAGCTGGCTCCGCCCCCTTGTGCCTGGGGGTGGACCAAGCACAAGGGGTCTCCTCCAGAACAGAAGGTGGGCGGTGGCCTTATTAGCCGCCCCATCCGCTCTGCCGCACTTCAGAATGTGTCTGTCCAGTAGCAACTTGCAACCGTCAAAAAGAAATGTTTCCTTCCTCAGCACTGTGTCCCCGGGATATTGCTAAAAGGGAAGATATTCCTGGGAGGCAGGGAGGAGTTCGACTACCCCCACCACCCAAACCACCTGCTAGGCTCATTGTTGCCACTTGGCACCTCGGGACAACCGGCTATTCTGGGGCTGCTATCACGTGCAAGCCTGTCTCTACTGCTGGGCGCAGCATCACAGACTGACCTCCAGGGGGAGGCCACATGCTCAACAGGGCAGTGTCCTGTGTTGCCCCTTCCTGTCACTGCATGCAATCAACACAATCTACACAGTTCTGAAAAACAGAGTGGTGTGTGTCGGGACTAGAATTAAAGGTCTTAAACATTACAGTGTATTATAATTTTTACTTGTCAAACACAACAGTGAAGTAGACCAGGATTATACAAGTACCTACCAATCACAAAGCAATGCCTTTCTGTTCCTCACCTACACTAGAGGTAGGGAACCCGAGTCTCCCCTCTCTCCTTCCTAATTCCTCTTTTGCCATTGCACCTGGATATTTATTTCAATTTTTTTCCTGTACCATCTAAAATTTTCACAGAAAATCTCAAGACAGTTTACAATATTAAAAACATAAATGACGTATGGATAAATGATAGAGGGTGGAACTCACATTCATCGCAGTAGCTGTTTCCACAGCAGGGAATGACTACAGCATCAGTCATTATATCTTTGCATATCAGACATAACAGTTCATCTGGAATAGGGTCATCTTCTTCTGAGGAAGACGATGGCTCCTCTGGCAGAAAGGGGGGTTTTTCTTTCTTCCCTTTAGCATAAGCCGCACTGAAAGAAAACAATTCCACTGAAATCTTTTCTGGCTTAAAATCCATTGTAATAATATTTAATTGATATGTCTGTTTCTATTTAATACCCATAATACACTACAGTCCCAAATTTATTAGGGCTTTGAGAACAGCACCATAAACAGAGAACGGGTAATCAATGCAGACTGAACAATAGCATAGTAATATGCTGTGCTTGACCAGTGCCTGTAAACACTTGGTCATCTTGAACCACTGAACGTCAAGATTATCTACATGTAGAGTGTTACATGTGAAGAGTACATGTTAGTGTAAAGAGTGTTGTTATTGAGAGATCACCAACAAAGCATTTAAGCTTAATGTCAAACATAACAGCAACCATTTTAGTTTTGAAAATAAGGCATCCATTACAACTTTTCAGATGTAACATTAAAGCACAATGAGTAACAAAGATGAATTTCTATCAATTATGCTAAAAGTTGAACATTAAAGTAATGGAAACGGGTTCACCTTGGTATCTGCACTGTACAGTAAAACCGAAACACAGGTCTTGCCTGAAACTTTAGATTATTCACTAAGAGAGTTTACACAAGAGACATTTGTAGTTTGGGGGCGCTCCTAAGCCCAGCATTGTCTCTGGAAGCCCAAGCAGATGTGATGGCACAGAGCACCTCCCATCACCTTCAGCTAATCCATCAACTATGTTCCTACCTGGACAGGCAGGACCAAGCAACACTGACCAATGCTCTGGTAACTTCTTGCTTGGACTATTGTAATGTGATCTACATGGGGCTTGAAAGCAGTTCAGAGACTTCAGCTGGTTCAAAATAGGGCAGCATAGCTGCTACTGGGGACTGGGAGGCAAGAACACATTACCCTGTCCTTTCCCATTTACACTGGTTACCAACTGAAGCCTGAACCCCATTTAACCCCCGTGTTAACATGTAGGACCCTAAATAGCATGGGACCGAGATGTTTGAAGGAACACCTCCTTCCACATATGCCTACCCATGGCTTAAGATCATCACTGGAGGTTCTTCTCCGAGAGGTAAGGAGGGTGACGACAGGGGGAAGGGCCTTTCCGGTTGTGGCACCCTGCTTAGGGGACTGACTTCCCAAAGTGCTGTGCCTCGCACTGACTCTATGCTTTCCAGCACCAGGAAGGCCTCTTTTTATTTTCCCAATATTTCAATAGTTACATTTTATATTGTGTATTATGTTTTATATGATATTTTATCATAGATTGCGGAGTACCCTCTGGTTTGAGTTGTTGTGGCTGTGCTATTATGGACTATGTGTGGGGTCTTGGGAGTTATCACTGGAGTTATATTTTTATATTTAAATACTGCATTTTGTTTACATCTACATTTTAATTCTATTGTACTTTTTTGCTGTTAACCATTTCAGAGCCATTTGGCTGATGAATGGTATAAAATATTCCAAATAAATAAATAATAAGCATATCAGCACCTCCGCACAGGGTTGGTCCTGCAACTGAAGGGGGGTTGGACCCAATGGCCTTCACGGCGCCTTCCAACTCTGCTTTTCTATGGTTTTACGGTTCCTTTGAATTTTGTCTGCACGGTGGGGCACATTCAGCTGGGTCTTGTGTCATAGTCCCACAGGCACTACACCACAGCTGGGAGAGTGAGCCAGTATCCACTGTGCGACTCTGGAAAGAAGGGCGACTTGCAGGGGAGGCGATGTAAAGGGACATCTCCCACCCATTCCTCCCTTTCCTGCTGGGCAGAAGGGGGAATGAAGCGAGGAAGGCAAGTAGAGCAGCTCCTTCCCACAGGCTGAGGCCACCACAGTGGCAGCGGGTAGGATGTGGATACTCTGGCTTGCTTCATGAAAAAACAAGAACTACAGCTGCACAGTGCCTGGGGAAACCAGGCCCTGCAGGCCCTGCAGCTCTCTGTGCTCCCTCCTATCAATGCTGAAAGGAAACCAGGATTGCTCAGAAGCAATCTCTCACCCCTTCCTGCATTGGCAGGAGGCCAAGGGGAACGAAAGCCAGCTGCATTTTGCTGGCTGCAATCCGTCAGAGGCCTTTGACCAGGGCAGCAACACTTTTTACTTCTCTTGGGCCTAATCCTAAGGTGGGGCTTGACCATGGCTTAGCATGTTGGCCAGATGCAGATGACATGCTAAGCCATACTGAGTTAGTGAAATCCTACAACAAGCCATGAGTAACTGGGTGGTATGTAAGCCAACCATGGGAATACTGCTAGGTTCAGACAATACATGAACACACTGTGACTGTGTATTCATAAACCACGGTGTGTATTCATTTCCATTTAAAAAAGCATACATGTTCCAGAAACCAGAGTAAGAATAGGAGAAGCCCTTGACGTTGAAGGTTGACAAGGCATCTGTCTCAGTACTGAATGGTGTCATGCGTCTGAGTGCTCTTGGGATCAAACAGTCCCTTGCTGTTGATGGTAAATGGGGGATCCCTTTTGAGATTGAACTCTCTTTTGAGTCCAAGCACTCTTGGGACTGATGACAATGTTGTCATTGCTGTCAAGTGGTGTTGATGACAATGAAGGGCTTCCCCTGAAGATTGAATCATCTTGAATCCGAGGATTCTCTTGGTATCCATTGGGCCCTTGGTATCAATGGCAGACAGGGGCTCCCTCTTGGGATTGAACTGTTTTTTGGACCCGAGTGTTCTCCTAGGCTTGATTGGGCCCTCAGCGTTGATGGTAGACGGGGCTCTCATGGTGTCCGCACTTCAACTTGGTGGCGGCGGCTATCCTTTTTCTGGATTAGGTACTTTCCTGGCCATATGGTCAGGTATTTGGAATCTGCAGCTTCTAGGGTCCTGGTCCTCAGTCAATTCACTCTGTATTTCCAGGCCTGGTTTTGTGAAGCCTTGACAGTGCAGGCATGATTCAACAGTATGTCCCGCACCCAAACAGAAAGACAAAAGGAGTGACCATCTGTGGGGAGCAATTTACTCACACAATGGACACACTTTCTAAAGGGTGCCTTTGATGCCATTGCAGTAGATGGGGAAGGCAGAGAGAGGAGAACAGAGAAAGGATTGGAAGAAGGATGGGGGAAAAAATCAGAGGGAGAGCAGGGATTTTTTTTAATGGATTTTACAAGTGAAGAGTGAAAATGAAGTTCATGACGAGATGAGGGTAATTAACGCTGAAAAATTACTCAAGTTGAGCAGAGAAGTGTTTCCTGATCTAGGCATGCAGGAGGTTAAAAGGGAACTGAAGGCAGGGGCAGGAGTCCCTCCCCATGGAGATAGGAAACAGGAAGGGGAGGGGCTCCCACCCAAACTAATGCTTTGCTGAAGCTTTCCAACAAGAGACTCTATGCAGGGGCACGGCCCATACGTATGAGGCAGAGACCACCAAGAATGAGTCACTGCAAAACTTTAATCATGTCAAAGATCTGTATACTTACGCATCAATAGTTGGGATGGCATATTTCCCTGTGTTGGTGAGCATGGCGCCCTTGGTGTTAGGGTCTTGCACCTCCATCATGAAACTTCGGGGTATTCCTGTGCTCTTTTTAATCCTGGGACCAGATTCAAAGTTTTTGTCCTATTAAGGAAAAAAGAAAGTCTCTAACTAAGAGGGTTTTTTGAGCTTCCCTGACCAAGCCTCCTGCCAAACTAGCTGAAATTTTTGATCTCTCTTTAATTCACAACAAAGCTCACCTGACATCAATGGATAAGCTTTTCAGCTTCAGAACAAATGCTATTTAAATCAGTCATTTCTTGTTTGGGAGAGATGCAAAACAAATAGCCTTACTGCTCTCAGAATGCAAGGCCAGATACCATGAAAATATTATGATCCATAGTCATTATTGCCTCATAATCTATGCTTAAACAAACAGTCTTCCCACCTTTTCTCCCATCACTGGAGCTCTGTGGTACATTTAATGCAAACACAGCCAAATGAATTCTTTATTCCCTGCACTGCCTACCACCAAACAAAAAAGCCTCTGAGGGGACCAAATTTAATCTCAGTCTAAACCATGGGTCCTCAAATTACGGCCCGCGGGCCAGATCCAGCCCACCATAGAGGTTTTGGACTCACCGCATGAGTGCACACGTGCATGGTGAGGCAGCGGCTTGCTCGTGTGGAGATAATTTTGGACTCGCTCAGAGAAAACCATCTCTGTGCGCTCCTGCCCCTGCCTCACCATGCATGCACCCCTCGCCCCCCACCCACACCACCTTGGTGACCCACGCCCATCACTGGCACCTTTCAACTGGCCCACCGTTCAAAAAGTTTGAGGACCCCTGGTCTAAACACTGCCAGATATAGGAATAAAGGGTTCTGCTTAGCAGGCTCCCTTCTTGCCCCTCATGCATTAAGCCAGGAGTAAAATTGTAGTTTCTTGTTATAAGCTGTCTTCCTGGAAGATTACCAGAAATAAAGACAAACTACTCAAATACAAACAAAGTTTTTATATTTCCACTATAGGCCCTTACCCCATTGGTTGGACAGATCTTTATATAATGACCAGGTTTTCCACAACGAAAGCAAGTATAATTTGGAGGAGGTGGACCCATGGGTTTCTTCATGTAACTAGAAAGGTGTAAGAAGAGAAGTGTATGTCTTTGTCGACTTTTTTTCCAAATATGAAATTAAATATCTAAACTGTTCCAAAGTTAGTTTTTTTATTTGTTTTGATATGTCAGATATGACTTACTTGCTTGGATCATATTCGTGGCCAGACTGTGACATCATAGCTTTAATTTTATCTTCTTCAGAAGCATTGGCTTCAGCCAGATTGGCAGTCTGTTCAATAGGTAATCATTTGACACACACATTAGAAACACATTTATGTCCATTCAGTCAAAGACAAACACCACTCATCCAATCCTGTAAAGAGCAGCATAAAACTAACTGAAGTTGCCTCAAAAAACAGTCCTGAAGATGTTCCAGGGAGTCCTTATGCCATTACATGATGTTTGTGTGCCTGTTAACCTACACTGAAAAGGGAAAAAAAAGCTTATTTACTGGGGCATTTTAAACCACAGGCTCTGTTTGTACCTTATATAATGGCTTGTATAACTGCTCCAGTTTCCTGTAATAAATTTAAGTGGTCTGGAGTTGAGTGTGTTTGCAGATGCCTCCTGCAATACTTACAGGTTAAAAGACTGAACGTTTAGTCTACAGAGAAGTGATGCTGTTCCTTTCTCTACTTGCACTATAGCGCCATGTATTATTGATGCCTCAACATATTAAAAAAGGACAATGTCATCCTGAAAACTGAAGCTCCAGAAGCTCAGCTAGGCCCACTTTAAAAAACTTTAGGAAAGACTTTGCCGTTCTCCAGACAGGTACAAAAGGAAAATGCAGGAGTGCAACTGCAATGTATCCAAAAGGCTCCAACAAACTGGGCAAAAAAACATTTTTCTGCCAACTGGAATCCGAGGCAGCACTAAATGTTTTGGTCATGCAACTTTCAAGATGACAGTGCCTTTCAGATGCAAGCCAGAGCTGTGAACCACGTGGAGCAAACAATTCTAAAGACTTGGTACCTGCTGGGTTGTTTTATTAATACAAATACAAGCAAGTTCTAAGGGAATGGTTACTAATTGTTCAGATATTCAAGCACCTAACATTCAGATCAGCCACACATACTTTATACATTCATCCACAAAAGCAAACAGCTAGTTTCAACAGTTTATTCATCAGTTGATTAAAATACATCGGTTTTTTCTTAACAATCAAGATTAACAACTATTAAATTGTTCACATTTACAGAAAACTATTTTACAAATATTTAGCTAATTTGTTTGAACCCAAACAGTTTTACAGAACACATCCAATAGCACAGAACATTAGTAGGAATAGACCAAAATTCAAATATGGCATTTAATACACAATAGGGATAAAACAGAAAACTGTTAAACACATCTCCTCCATGCAAAATCTGTTTGCATTGATGAGGCTAAAAGTAAGTAACAGTTTTGAACTGCTTTATATCATGAAATATTCGGCATTTGTCGGAAATACTGAGGCTCTCTCTGAAACTTAAACTTTACATCTCTTGGACATTTTTTTTCACATCTCAGAAAAATAAACTTGACATGAACTTACAGAACCAAGGAGAAATTTAAGGACAGCACTAATGGAAACCAAACTTTAGCTAATTTGGTTGACTTAATTTTTTGAATTTGTAAAATGCACACCAACTTTCCCAACTTAGCTAGAAAAAGTAGTTCGCCTTGGAAAAAAGCAACTTCAGCAGTTATCCACAGAAGCAACACAAGTGAAATATTATGCTTCTCATTTGAAATGTTTAAACAGCAGCTATTTCCTTGGATAAAGGGTGTTATCACTAGTGCTTTCCCAAACAAAGTTACACATTATTAAGCAGAAAATGCAAGCAGTTTCATAGCAAAACAAGGCAGATACAACAATTTCAGAAGGTCACATTTGCCAGTATGCCACACATACACATTGGTATATTCCTATAAGTACATTTACAGTCTGTGTTCAAACAAATTAGTTGCATAGGTATCGCCCACTGCACATACTACAAGTGTACAACTTGGGTTAGGCAAAATGTTGTTCTATCACTGGCTCTGAGTGCAATATCCCAAAATAACCATGTAAATTGTCCATGTGATAGGGAAATACTTCTATTTTGGCTGATGCACAGAGAAATCCTAGGAGTCCATAAATAGTATTAAAATTCTTCTTTAAAATTGTGCTATTTTTCCAATGCAAAATTAATGGAACGTATGAAAGAAACGATAAAACAGCTTCAGAAGTGCTTCTTCTTTGAATCTTGAAGATGAGCAAAACTGCAACATTATGTTGAGGCTGATAAGGTACTCCCCTTCTATCTTCCCATACTGGGAACTACTCTTTACAGGATAGTGATCAATAAATATACACATTGCAATGTTTAGGCTTGGCACTTTTCACTAAAAATGTTTTGCACCAGTGACAGAAATAAACCACAGCATAAAGACATTCAAAATACCAAGCAAGCAACATTTCATTTGGCTATATTTGACAAGAATATATGTATATATACCTTTGTAAGCTGGGCCAGAGAAATAGATGCAGAAGAGTCATCAATCTGTTCATAAAAAATTAAACACACATTCAAGTTCCACAATCAAAATGCAGCCAACAAATTTAGCCTCTACTGTGGTATTAAGATCTAGCACGAACATATGCTCTACAGAGAGGCATTTTTCAAAGTACTGCAACCTTTGGCCAAAAATATGTATTCGTTTGTTCTGTTTGTGCAGGTATACACAATCAGTTCTTGAGAAGAGTTAAATGGATGAAATCTAGTCATGGGGAATGGCAACTGGCACACAAAAACCTATAAACTAATTGCTTCTTTAGTGAACCAAAACCTACACTGTTTATGACAGCGACTTTCACAAACTATACGATGGGAAGGCTTTTTCATAGCTAAATGTTTTCCTTTACAAGAGATGCTTTATCATTTTGGCAGATTCTGATGCTTTGCTCAAAAGAAAACTCATTAGCAACTTTTCAAACTAGCAGTCCCTTTTTAACAGGGACCACTGAAATAAGCATATGCAAAACTTATTTTATGGCATTTGCCATGAACACTCTCCTAAGCTAGGAACTGCAAATATCATTCAGCTCTAGGGACTGGCATAAAATGTTTAGGAACCTACGGTTGTAGAATATTCTGCAACTCTGGTTTAAGTTGTAGATTTAACCAGTTTAGCTATGTGGACCTGTCATGCCAAAGAATCAGAGAAGTGACACCCATGTGATAAGCCCATGAATGCTGACTGGAAGAGTGAATGGTACTCTCGTAAAACGTTAATTTAAGATATTGGGGGCATAATGAGCATTCATCCTGACCATGTACAACTTTAACTTCCATCAAAGCTACTCTGGAATTGGGGTACAACATGCAGCCCAGATAAACCCTACTTAAAAGGCAAATGCACCTTTCTCATAACAAAAGAAAATAACTCCCTCTCCTTGCCTTAAAAGCAATCTCACTATAAATAGAAATTGCTTCTCACAGTTACATCTTTTGTGAGCAATGTATGAGGAACTGACCTCCAGCATACATACTTGGTATCATGTGAATAAGGCTACAGTTTGAGAAGGTGCATCAGGAAGTAACTTCTAAATGATGTCTTACAATACAATTCTAACAAACGCCTACAAATAGTTATCTAATGGACACTATTTGTTTATGATACATAAGCATTCACGTGGCCTTCAGGCGTAAGGCAACAAGGGCACTGAAGACCATCACGTATGTTTAGATATAGCCACTTTCCTATAGCTGAAATACATATTCCATTTTTAACTTCCTGACTAATATTTACAGTAATTATACAGCTAGTGTTACTGTCTGCCTACAGGTGGGCCTGAACATGCTCTATCAGTGTGAAATCCAGGGTTATGCAGAGATGGTCAGTTCTGTGGGACCTGCTGACAAGGGTGGAAGAACTTGCTCCTTTTCTAGATACCAGTAGCAACAGGATTAGCATTCACTGGATGGCAGGATACAAAGGAATAGCTGCCATTCAACAAAACAGAGGGAAACAAATGCTGCACTTGGGACAAGACTGTGGTAGCAGGGAGTGTTCTGGGCACCCACCTTGTCTCTGGGTGATCTGCCTCAACCAATGGAGAGTCTCTCCAGGAGACTCTACAATGTACAGCTTGCCCCTACTACATATATTCCACCAAACAAAGTAAACATTTCACTACTCAAAGTGAGGCTTCAAAAAAGGACAACAATGTTTAAAAGGGAATCCCACAGAAAAGTAAATGGAAGGCATACTACACTTTCTAGACTCAGATTTGATAAAACTGCATACATATTTGTGATCTGAAAATATGTATGTATTTTTACTTAGAAACATGTTACTATGGGTTTAGTAGTTAGGCATAGTTTGAAAAGTTATACGAAATCAAAACAGCACATTCAAACACAGCCTTCCAAAACTAGAATTCAAAATTTTCAAAAGGGGTTTGTAAGCTATGCGATGCCAAAAATCCTTTTATGTGGAAACAGGCTGGAAGAGAACTGAAGAAAAGCTTAACAAGCTCATTATTACTGATGGTTAAGCAAGTGCGGCCATAAAAAGCAAAATACTGACTGTAGGAACAGAGACAAAATGGCACAACTTTCTCATGAGATGGCACTGAACAGGTTACAGACAAAGACTCCTCTCCCAAGAAAGGGGAAGAGAACAATCAGTGTTATCCTAACTACCATAATATCATAAGCAGATTTCTTTACCTGCTGTTATTCCAATACTAATTTCTTTCCTCTTACTAAGTACAATACTAAGTACTCAGTCCCCAATTTCAAAACCCGTTTGGACAGGTACGTGAATTATTTATCACATGGGTGGATGGAAAGTAGCTCTCCAGGTGTTTGGAGTTCAGCCCAAAACATTCCTGACCACTGGTGATGCTGAGGGAGTTTCTGGGTGTTTACGGGTAAAACATCTGCAGATCTACCTTCTGCTCACCCCCATCTATGCCTTTGCATACCCATAAATCACCAATTTGCTCTGCACATTTCCAGTTGGATCCATGTCATAAAGAACTACACGTAAATTGGTGCTAATCCTGAAGAGGGTAGATTTCAAATATTCTGAGTCACTAAGATGAAGCTGTCTAACAAACAGGTGCTTAGGATATTCTCAGCATAGATTCAAGAAAACTGACTCATGGCATTAACTTTTTGCAAATGATGCATACAGTTTATCAGATAAAGTTGAGGCCTCTACTAGTCATGGTGCCTGCAGTATAGCCTAACACAAATCCTTCATAGTCAACTGCCTCATAGTGCCTTTGTACTGGAAATTAGTTAACTAGCAAAAGTGAACTGGGAAAATAGAGGAGGAGAAAAACAACACTAGGGATCAAAACCTGCCAGGGCCATAGTTACAGCTAAGTAACTAAAATGCCTCTTGGTAATACTTCAATTTCAGCCACTTAATTTTTGTTCATATCAAACCTAGTAAAAAGGGTTAGCAGCTCAGTGATATACTCAAAGAAGACTACATCTGGGTTTTAGGTATACCACACAAAGGATGTCAGAAAGTGGGAGAAAAAGGCAGCAGACAAACCAAGAACAAAATTCGTCTCAGCTCAGTAGCTAGCCATCACTGCGTTTACCATCAAACCTTCTCCTGCTCCCTGGGTGTACTAGGTAACGAGAAAGGATAAATCTTCATTGAGATGGGACAATAGTGTCCCGCAACAGCAGGGGGTTGGACCTGATGGCCTTCTGGCCTCTTCCAGATCTACTACACTATGATCCTATGATTCTTACATAGAAACATAGTGAGTCAGAAGCGGCCTCCTGGGCCATCTAGTCTGACCCCTAGCTCCAGTAAGCTCCACTCCTGACATGCATACCATGTGCACGGGGCTTTAGGAAAGGCAAAAGAAGCAGACCACTCAAGAGCTACCCCAACCCTCCTACATGTTTCTTGGGAACAGGGAGGTCTCTTGTCACACTGCACTGAGCTCAGAGCAGTGTCAGACTTCCTGAGTTCTAACAATTTACAGAGAAAGTGCAAGAGGAGATCTGTACGCAGGAAACCCTGCCTTCCAAAACAGCAAAGGGTATTTGCTTCTGACAAGTGGATTTGGAGAGGCCTGGTGAGTAGTGCTGATTATATCAGATCCAGGACACCTTTGTAAAAATGATATTAAAATTATTGGACACTACCAGCAGCATTGTCTGCTGTATCACAGAAGTACTATTCTAAGGAATGGCTGAACCTGACAGCACAAAACCTAAGTATTTCCTTAAACTGGATTAATTTGTTTCTATAGAACTCTTAAACTTCCCTCTATTTATTCTGAATTAGTCCCAATGCCAAGCCTTGACCTCAAACTTAGGAGTTTTGTTCTTTGAATCTTAATTCACACAGCAGCAGTGAAGCCTTTTTGCCACCATCCAAACAAACTTTTTAAACCAGGGGTCTCAAACTCGCGGCCTGCAGGCCAATTGCCGGGATGGCGGGGCACAGGGAAGGGGCCCTGCGGCCTTCAAAGCGCCGGCGGCGCCCGGGTCGGCCGCGGGATGAGCGGACCACCACCACCGTGGTGGTGGAATACTTGATGCAGCCCAGCCTCACCCACACTCTACTTCCAGCGGCCCCCAGATCAGTTGAGTTTGAGACCCCTGCTTTAAACCTTCATATGCAGAATCGCAAGGACCAATCCAACACAGAATTCCTCCTACTTCACATGTGATATGATATATGAATGACTTGGCACAGGAAATGGGAAGATTTCACCTGCCCCAGTGAACTACGCCTAAGTGTCTATTGTAGCTTTAAAGCAGGACTGAAACAACAGCACTCCAGTCAGCAAGCTTAACTGACTTGACAGAGAATTTTTACAGAACTGTCCCCATCCCTGCTTTAGATGGTATGTATGGGCAAGTAGACTAGGAAAGATTTATTGACTAGTAATTGTTTTGTATTTGTTTGCAAGCCTGCTTTAAGAAGTGGACAGATCTACAACGGCTAAACCCAGATGTTAATAGACATGCCAGGGAACACACAACTCTAAATGAAAGTTGAACTTTATTTATGAACATATAGTCTGTTTATATACATGCTAGAAAAAGAAAAGGATTGCTTATTAAATAAGAATGAGGTAAATGTAGTTTATACATAGCTACTATATTATGGTTTTGCATGGCTATAATCAGAAGCACCTTTGAAACATATATAACTAATGATCACATGCAGCCTATAGTTGAAACATTTTACTAGGCCACAAAAAGACTAAACATTTTTATTTAACCACAATTTCATCAACATTCTCACTAGTCACAAAGACGTGTTAGCCCAAGATCTACCTTTAGAAGACAAGTTGCTCTAGTCTAATCAAAGGTAAATCGGGCACCTTAGCTGAAATTCTGAACACTGTCTAGGATTATTTTGGCACAAGCTATGCTACCTAAGAAGGGTTTAGTTAGGCATACAATTCAAGAGGATATCAATGGCAAAATAAAGTTAAGGAATTTGGGGTGGCCAGGGAAATTAGGTGGTTTCCCCAGAAATAAGATAAAGCTGGGTTGTTATTCCAAAACATGTCCCATGTACAAGCATTTTGGCTATTTTATGTGCTGCTCACAGAAAAATGGAAGCAAGTGCTGGATTTTAGGATAGCAGTTCTTGTTCTAAGAGGTTTTCCATTCATGGAAATCATGTGAATTTATATGTATATCCCAGTGAACATTTAGCTGCACAAAAATGCCTTAGATGTTTCAACATATGTTTGAACCACAAGAGAAAAAAAAGTTTAACAATACGGTTTTTGATAACATTTTTTCAAAAACCATTAAGGGAAATATTAAGAACAAAAGTTAAGTAATACAATGTGATAGTGGCAAAAAAGATACGTTCCAAATGTTTTTATTTCAAGAAAACAAAAAGCACACAACAACCTATACAAACATACAGCTACTAACTAGAGACACACAAATGCAGAACAAGGTAATCACGTTCAGCAGTGCAAACCTTAGCTTACATGATCTATAAATGATCATACATTATCTGTACAACACAAAGTCATACAGGACTTCAATATGCAATACAGTGTGTCACTTGGCACAAGTGTTGATATTTACATTAAAATAATCTGCATTGCTCATTATACTATATTGAATCAAAATACAAAGTAGTTACAATATCAATGCATGTCTACGGGAAATAATTGAATATTTTAAGAGGTAGTTTATTGCTGTATTACTGTTTTAAAATTAAGCAGAATGTGTAGAAGAAAAAAGTGTGAGATTGTGTTTTTACATACTGCTTTTGAAGTTCCACTCACTGGATCAGTTCGGCTTCTAAAAAGGGAAAATAGACACTGTCAGAAAAGTAAAGCATATCACACAAAGTAGAGAAAGCCACCACCACGGATACTACCAGTTCTTATACATGTTTTAGACCATACCCCCTAAATCTAAAGAAACCAAGGCTCTGATTCTGCAGATAAATGACATGAAGTTTGTACGGCCTACAAGAACATGTCTAATGAGATTGAACATGCACAAGGTTAAAGAGGCCAAATCCCCACACCATGAATAAGGTGGCCAGCCTGGCCGGGAAAACCCCAGTTGCATAGGGTAGATTGACTAAAAGTGGTAATAGTTGTCAAAAACATCACCTGAGCGGAGTGTCTAGGGTTCTGTATAATTTATGAGTTCTGTGATAAAGAAAAAAGGTCTTATTTACTCAAACTTGAAGTCCTAAATATTTCACATTTAGAATTTTGTATTTTCCATGAACTACTGGTTTATTAAATACAGAAGTATCCCATAGTCTTGCAGCCATGCCAAGCATGCTAACAGACGGGTATGAATGGCAGAATTTTGATGAGCAGGCAGCTACTGAAGGATCAGATCAGTACTAACAATACTGCAAAACTCCATTTGGTTATAAATTGCAATATAAAATACAGTATTTTCACAGCCTCTTCCAACTTGTCTTAATTTCCTCTGAGAAGCCAATTATACGCAAACACTTTGTAACTTTGAAAAAAACTGTTTGCTTCACTAAACATGGATTCATTTCCAGAAGCACAGCCATGTTATATTGTTGCATCAGAAGCACCTTAAAGACTAACATACGAATTCTAGGCTTTCATTTGTCCACCTCATCATATGCATGGATTGTATTAATTGCCTCTCCCACCACTGCACAAAAAGTATCCCATCTGAAGTACAATAAACAAAGACTACGTTCTGAAGTAATGGGAAACCATGATTTCCTACAATGCGAACGAGCCATGCTGCACCACAGGGTCACACATCATCTTTCCCCATAGCTGGGAAGAACCTGGAGCCTCATGACATCCAAATTCAGAAAACTGTACTTCAGGCTAAGGTTTGAGAGAACAAACTTGCATTTGAATGGGAGTTTGAGATCATAGCTTCTTCTCACAATCTATACCCTAAACAAGTAATAGTTCTACATTTGGGTATCACAGCTGCTCTTCACTGAAAACTGGAAGAAAAAGAATGTATATAGCAAGCCTAAGGCTGATCATGGCTCACATACTGGGAAATTATGGTTTCCCACTAAGGTTTGAAATGGGTTCAATATATTTGTTACTAGGATTAAAAACATCTGCAACACATACCTTCTATATTTCTCACAGGCTAATTAACAATTTAAAATATAACCGGCAAACAAAAAATATACACAGCTTTATCTTTTCAAAGAATTATCTGGATTCCCAACTATTGTATTATAAATTTCATCATTTTAGCAGTTGATGTTCAGTCTTATCAAAGAAAGCAGTAGTACTAAACAAATTTTGGCCTCATTTGTCATCTTTAAAAGTGCAAGAGTAGAGTACAGAAACATACAAATCAAAGCTGCAGTATTGGCCTTCTTCGCCTTTATTTATTTATTCATTTCATTACCATGACATCCATCAGCCAAAGAGGCTTTCTTGGACAGTTCACATCCATGAGTAACACTTTGCTAGTAGGGCTGGTTTTGCCATGTAGCAGTCAAGCAACTGTTTTCAGGAAGCACCGTGGGTGGTGGGGGAAAAACAGAGGATACTAGTTGGTGTCTGAATGATGTGACAAGATTTTAAATAATATCTCATCCCTAGCTTGAGGGGGAGTGGGCCTGCATTCTGCTTCAGGCAAGAAGTTCTAAGGTCACCTTTCTTAGCAGGTTGTAGTTCAGCATTTTCAGTCTTAACCTCATGTGTACTACCCTATTAGTAAGATAGCTGAAACGGGTACAAATTGTCTGTACTCTTAGTGGAATGTGAAGTCAAATGGGCCTTAGGAAGTTGAACAACAACAAAGCTAGTGGAGGAGACAAATTCCAAAGAAGGGCAATGCCAAAGAATGTTCACACCACCGCACCATTGCACTCATTTCACATGCTAGCAAAGTGATGCTCAACATCCTACAAGCCAGGCTCCAGCAGTATGTGGACCAAGAACTATCAGAAGCACAGGCAGGATTTCGAAGAGGCAGAGGAACTAGAGATCAAATTGCCAACATACACTGGGTCCTGGAGAAAGCTAGGGAGTTCCAGAAAAACATCTACTTCTGCTTCATTGACTATGCTAAAGCCTTTGTGTGGATCACAACAAATTGTGGCAAGTTCTTCAAGAGATGGGAGTACCAGACCATCTTATTTGTCTCTTGAGAAACCTATATGCGGGTCAAGAAGCAACAGTGAGAACTGGACACGGATTGGTTCAAAATTGAGAAAGGAGTTCGGCAAGGCTGTATACTGTCGCCCTGCCTATTTAACTTATATGCAGAGCACATCATGAGAAAGGCGGGGCTAGCTGAATCACAAGTTGAAATTAAGACTGCCAGGAGAACTATCAACAACCTTAGATATGCAGATGATACCACTCTCATGGCAGAAAGTGAAGAGGAACTAAAGAGCCTCTTGATGCGGGTGAAAGAGGAGAGTGCAAAAGCTGGCTTGAAACTCAACATTAGGAAAACTAAGATCATGGTATCTGATCTTATCACTTCCTGGCAAATAGATGGGGAAGAAATGGAGGTAGATTTTATTTTCCTGGGCTCCAAGATCACCGCAGACAGTAACCGCAGCCAAGAAATTAAAAGACGCTTGCTCCTTGGGAGGAAAGCTATGGCAAATCTAGACAGCATACTAAAAAGCAGAGACATCACCCTGCCGAAAAAAGTTCGTACAGTCAAGGCTATGGTTTTCCCAGTTGCAATGTATGGCTGTGAAAGATGGACCATCAGGAAGGCTGAGCGCCAAAGAATTGTGGTGCTGGAGAAGACTCAAACCAGTCAGTATTAGAGGAGATCAACCCTGACTGCTCTTTAGAAGGCCAGATCCTGAAAATGAAACTCAAATACTTTGGCCACCTAATGAGAAGGAAGAACTCCCTGGAGAAGGGCCTAATGCTGGGAACAATAGATGGCAAAAGAAGAAGGGGACGGCAGAGAATGAGGTGGCTAGATGGAGTCACTGAAGCAGTCGGTGTGAGCTGAAGTGGACTCCGGGGAAAGGTGGAGGACAGGAAGGCCTGGAGGAATGTTGTCCATGGGGTCACGATGGGTCAGACATGATTTTGCAACTAACAAAAACAACAACTCTTAGTAGGCTTTAAAAGAACAAAGGAGTGATTTAAATCAGTAATTTAGATCAAGTTCTCCCTTCAAACTTTTTCATATACTGCTGGAAGAATATTGCAGATCTGACTACTAACTCATGTTAAATTTACAGGTAAAGAGACATTTATACTATTTCACATCTTTAAAATATTCCCACATGGGGTGTGTCTTATCACCAGCACTCATGTTAACAGTCCAAACCTATACAGGCCTCCTCAGGCATAAATTCCATTGGGTTCTATGGGGCATATGCCCAAATAAAAGTATAGGACAGCAGTCCTCATAGGGGGCTGTTTTGGCATGCCTTCTCTTCTTTTCAGTGTTGCTCCTTTAGGTATCACTTATGGAATGGCAATGACTGATAGGCTGAAGCAAGGTACAGACTTCAAGAAAGCCAGTTTTAGTAAACTTAGAACAATGAAAAGTAAAGTCCCATGGCAAGTGACTCTAATGAGAAAGTGTCCAAGGGAATTTTGAAAAAAAAAAAAAGGAAACTCTACAGGTACAATTGCAAATCATTCCAACAAGGAAAATGAGTAGAAGACAATGGAAGAAGACCATGTGGCTTTTAAAAAGCTTAGAGAAGATCTGGGCCCAATGAACTCCATCTTAGAGTCATAAAGGAGCTGGAGAAAGAACTGTCAGAATCACTGTCTACTATCTTTGTGAAATCATGGGGCACAGAGGAAGTACCAGAAGACCGGAGAAGGGCCACTGTTGTTCCTATCTTCAAGAAAGGAAGAAAGAAGAACCTGGGAACTCTGGACCAGTCAAGACAGATATCAATCATTGGGAAATTCTGGAGCAGATTCTAAAGCAGTCAGTCTGCAAACACCTGAAAACAATGCAGTGATTCCTAGAAGTCAGCATGGATTTGTCAAGAACAAATCCTGCCAAGTTAAATTGATTTCTCTTTTTGATTGGGTAACCTCCCTGATGGACTATGGGAATGCAGTGGACATAATCTATCTGGACATGGGCAAAACTTCTAGCAAAGTGCCCCAGGATATCCTGAGTAGCAAACTGGTTAAAAGTGGGCTAGGCAGAACAACTTTCAGCTGGCTCACAGCTGGATCCACAGTTGGCTACAGAACTGGACTCAAAGCATGCTCATCAGTGGCAGCTTAAACTGGGGAGAAGTAGCAAGTGGAACAGTGCAGGGTTCAGTCCTGGGTCCAGTGCTCTTCAACATTTTTATGAACTGATTCAGATGAGGAGGTGCAGGGAACAATTGCCAAATTTGCAGGTGACACAAAACTGGGTGGGAGAGCAAACACACCAAAAGACAGAAATAAAATTAAAGATGCTCTTATACATTGGAGCACTGGGCTGAAAACAACACAATGAATGGGCATGTTTAGACTTGACAAGAGAGGACTAAGAAGAGATATGATAGTACTCTACAAGTGTTTGAACGGTTATCACAAAGGGGAAGGATGGGATCTCTTCTCAATTATCCCAGAGAATAATGGGCTCAAGTTACAAGAAAAAAAAATTCCAGCTACATATCAGGAAAGAAGTACTGACTATTAGAGCAGTCCAACAATGGAACCAACTACTTAGGGAGGTTGTGAGCTCTCCCACAGTAGAGGCATTCAAGGACAGTGCAGAGGGAGTTCTGCACTGAGCAGGTTGGACCTGATGGACTTCTGGCCCTTTCCAACTCTAGTATTCTATGATTCTATGACTGGAACACTTAGCTGGTGGAGTGCCCATTGATTTTTATATACCCTGATACATTGCATTTCAGTTTCAACAGCCTGGCCTTGTTTAGCCCAGTCCCATTTCAAACACTGAACAGAATGTGTTTTTGTACTAAGAGGCAGTGTGTTGCAGTGCTTAAGAGCTGGGTTCTAGTCTCCACTCAACCACGGAACTAAATTGGTGCCTTTGGGATATAAACATAATAAATTATATAAGTATGTTTCCACTGAGAAAAACTAAAATCTCAGAACTTTCAAAAAGCAAGAGCTGGCATCTATGCTTATGTTTATGTAAAATCAAAATGAATGGCTATGTAAAAAAGATAGATAAGAGAAATTTAGTCTGTGTGCATTTTTAATTATTTTAATCACATTATAACTCACATCCAAAGCACAATATTCTTTGTGCTATACCCATGGTACCTGTGGTCATGTGTTACCTGGAAGTTGGTGATTTAATTTCCAGGTATTAAACCTGGGACCAGTTCTTTTCTCTCACACACACAACCATTGACATGTTATGCTACTAATGGCTGAAAAGGTACAATTAATTACTTGTCACAGTAACACAATGCTCTTGCTTCTCACCAACCCCACCTTCAATTCATCCTCTGCATCATCATCAATTACATTTCTATACTGCCCTGCAGAGTGGTTTGCACAATTCATTTTGACAGCCCAAGAGGAACAATGTTTCAGGAACCCCTTATCAAATGAAGAATGCTAACCCAATTATAAAATCTGTAGACAAGGCCTGGTTTCTATACTGGATAACTAGGCTAAACAAACTTCTTTCTTTAACTTGCCTATACATGAGGAAGAAATTTGATTTCTCCAATTTAAACCAAATTCTGCCTGACCACAGTGAACCAGTTTAAAATTCTAAGCTGGTTAATCCCAAGGAGCCAGAAACAGGCAGAATTTATGAGAAGAAATATCTACAAAAGATCAGGGACTGCAATGATACATGTTAAAGTCCCATTTGACCACTAAAAGAATCCACATTGAAAGTAGTTCTAACTTTTCCAGGATAGCAAGAGATGTTCAAAATTAGCTCTGTCACCTGACTTCAGGAATCACTCTACAGTCACACACTCAGTATTTAAGTTCAATTCTGAATTACCTGCCAAATTCTAAGACTGTAGAAACATCAGGAGGAATACTATACATTTTGGATATAGATACACACACACACACACACACACACACACACACACACACTTAATTCCAATACTTTTCAAAGGATTTCCTGAAAGGATGCCGAGTCATTTAAAACTGCAATCAGTAAACTAAGTATCTTGTTGCCTCCAATGTCCCAAAAGTTTTATCTAAATATACTTGGATGGATTACTACGGACTAGTATCTTGATGAGCCTAGCCCATCTACAATGAATTTGTACAAAAAGTTTGATACAACTTTTGATACAAAATGATTTATAACACAGTTTTCTTGCATTACTAAACATTAACTACCAACATTCTAGAAGTAAAACATCTCCTTTCTAATTTCAATGAGAACCCATAAAAGAAATACTGCAGATGAGAACCTACAAATACTTATATTAGTTCTCAAAAGAAAATCCAGGCACTTACATGACATATGTTTTGCTTGTACATTTTACTCCACCAATAGGAATTCTTCTGACAATAACAGATGAGTTCTTGGGAATCAGAGCATTATCATCAGTATATTCTAAAAAGTGAGAGAGCACATGTACCAGGTAAGAATTCATATCTGAAAGAACTGATGTGGAATTTCCCCCAACGAACCAAGGAATCTGAAGACTTCTCAGCATTCCTAATTATGTGGGAGAGTTCGCCATTAACCCATTCTCATTTAGCCATTTGCAGCATTTGAGGGTCAATGTTGTATAGTTGTTAAGAGTGCTGGGCTGGGACTCAGAAAATCTGGGTTCTAGTCCCCACTCAACCATGGAGCTCACAGGGTGTACATGCATCAGTTACAGACTCTCAGCCCAACCTACCTCACCGGGTTGTTGGTATGAGGATAAGGATAATTATGTAAGCCACACTGAGCTCTTTGAAAAGGGGTGGAAGATGTGATATTTATTTTATATCCCACTTTTTTCTAATGAGCTCAAAGTGGCTTACACAATTCTCCTGCTCTCAAGCCTATCCTCACAACAGCCACCCTGTGAGGTAGGTTGGGCTGAGAATCCGTGACTGGCTCAAAGTCACCCAGTTGGCTCCATGGCTCAGTAGGGCCTAGAAGCCAGATCTGCGAAGTCCTACTCTCATGCTCTTAACCACTATGCCACACTGGCTCTGGATATAAATGTAAATGAATAAATTCAGACTGCTTCAATTTGTGTATTTTATGCTAATTAAAATGTTTCAGGAAGCTAATACACAGCCTACTCAAAACATGGAATCTAAATTAGAGGCACAATATAATACAATCAGAAAACATGTCAGGAGAGGGATGAGGAACAGATGGACTAGAACCCCCATCATTTCTGACCACTGGCCATGCTGGCTGGCCTGAGGGAAGAGAAATCCCACACCACTCAGGTTCCCCGCCATAGAATGTAACAGGTTTTAAAAGAAATAAGGGACGTCATGTAACAGGTTTTAAAAGAAATAAGGGACGTCTATGACAGAACACTCTGACGTGTCAAAGTGCATAAGTATTTGGGATGCAAATTATGTTGGTACAATTCTACATACACAAACCTATGGATTTCAAGTGCTAAGTATTACAGTCTACTAAAGAAAAGTTCCACACATTGAAAACTAACCTAATATCTGTAACAGTGCCTAATTATAAAATTATTAATATATGATTGTATAGTCAGAACAGCTTAAACTAAACCAATGCACCAAATTAAGAGAATAGCACTGCTATTCTCTTAAATATTAAATTAAAATTGGATTAATTTAATTCAGCAAAAACTGAAAGCCCAGTATGAGTTACTCATTCACACATTTCCTAAGCAATGGTGCAATTTGTATCACTTCACCATGCGGATGTACAACTAAATAAGAGTGCCATTTACAATTTTTCATTTCTACAAATAGAAATGTATTTGTATCTCTTTGCTGGACCACCTATGTTTCGAATGTTTTTTAACCTGCAGAAAGTATCTTTATACTCTACAAAATTTACACCCTGAAATTATTTCCACATAGGGTCTTTATTTATAGACAGCAGTCATTAAAAAATTAGGAAGTATGAGAAATTAGGAACCTGTGCACTGATCAATATCACATGCTCTTCTGCTTCACTCTGCCTTGGCTGATCCTCACAAAAAACAAAGAGAAATTAAGCACCTATTATTGATAATTCTAACATGAAAGACTGGACTACTGAATTCCAATAACTACAAGGCAGATTAGAGAAATTATTTCATCAAGTGAAAATGAAATTATGATTTCATAGGTGAAGTGAAAAATGATCAAGGTCATTATTTATTTCAATAGAAAAGGCTAGCTAACTCAACATACCTGGCTGAGGGCATTAATTCCAATTAGAGATTAAACAGAGTTTAACATTCCTATGATCAGATTATTGACTATTAACCAAGACACTCTTTGAGTGAAACTTAATTTTTACAATTAAAAATATAAAAACCTATTTTAAATTTAAAATCTTATTATACTTGAGTCATGATATTTGAAATTATCTAATACTGCAAATATTTGTCTTTTCTAGGAGGGCATTTAACAGTGTTATCAAAAAAGGACTAAAGCAGGAGAGTTCAATTTATTTAGTGAATATAACATGAAGTCTTTTGCACTCAATTCCCTTCCACTGTTGAAACTTGTTCATTATTCTACCATCCCAAGTTTGAGAGACAGCCAATGAATACACATGCAGGCAAATGATCACTTTCCTATGACAAGGAGCAAAAAATTCCTCAACCCTGAGCATTTTCCACTGCTTTATTTTTCAGCAGAAATGTTCCACTTCGTATGTTCATCAGTAACAAATGATGGATTTCAAATGCAAATACAGTGCAAGTCTAGCAGTTTCAAAGTTGTTCAGGTAATTATTCCCAGCAAACACACAAACAAATCTTTTTATGTCTCTCTGAAATGGAAATGCCCCAAGACCTCTCACAAAGGAGTTGAACATTACTGAAAGAAATGAGTGCTTCTCAACGTATCATGAACACATTTTGGGATGTTAGCATTAAGTATGGCAGCCTAACTCACACTAGTGTCCTCTATACTGACTGAAGGATGCTGGGAGCTTTAGCTCAACTTATTTGGGGGCATCGCGCAGGAAAAGGATGAATTAGTGCATCAACAATTTTCAGTACCTTTGATTCTTTCTTGGATTTAAACAAGAAGGGAAGAATGCACTTTTGTTTTGAATTTCCTTTTACAAGTATTCCAATAAAATGTGTACATAATATCACATTTAAATGCTATCTCTGTACCATCCTATAGCAGAAGCTCCCTGCATGGTTTACAACACAAAGAACCCAAAATTCATCATGTTAAGCTTGTGATAACTTTTCCTCAAATATTTCAAGTTCCCTACTTGTCATGTATTTAGTCAAAAAATTAACATCAGGTATTTCTAAACTTTGTCCCAATGCAAACCAATCATTTTCCAACGTAACTTAGCTAACTTGCATCAGAAAATTTTCTAATCCAGAGTTTTCCAGAATTTATTTAAAATGACCTGTTCTCATCAATATTAAAACATTACTTTCCTAAAGATTCACATACAGCATGGCTTAGCCTGCTTTTAGACAGGTCAGGTTGGTTACTGACAGGAGCAATGGATCTTTTCACATTCTGCCAGTACTGAAATGTCTGTCTAGAGGCCCATCACATACTCAGGGCACGAGGGGTGGACAGCCATTTCTCCTGGGCTGATTGCATAAACTTTTACGAATGAGCACATGCTCATTCGCCAAATGTGAAATCACAAACAATCCCCCAAATACTCATTCACATCAAAGCTCGGTATGTTTGCTTTCACACGATGCATTGTGTCGCACTACCAGGCAGTAAGCTCGATGAAATTTTACCTGCATTCAGGTAGTGCGCTGGCAACAGCCCCTCACCGTGGCAGAACTGCTTACGCAGGATGTGAACTCTTTGAACTGTCATTAGGTAGGAGCCAAAGGCTCATGACATGACAACTCTGTTTACCACCCACTTCCTCTGACACATCTGGGGCTGAGCTCTGCTTGCAAACAGGGCTCTGGGCTAACCAGGCTATCGATCAATCCGGGTGACAAAACAGAAAGCCATACTGGTCCTCACCGACGGATTAGTCCGCTTCTCGCTTAAGAGCGGCCTGGTATAAGCTATGAGTGTGGTATGCCTGTGGGGGGGGGGGGGCATGGCAGTTCAATGACCCTCCCCACAATCCTCCTCCTCCTCCTCCTCACAATTCGGAAACGGCCAAGTTCTAGCCGTCCACGTCGCCACCCCCCGCAGGTCCTTGGGACACGGACCCGCCTCGTGCTGCTCCACGGACACCGACAGGCCTCGATCGCTGAACGGCGACTGTGCGCGACCTCCGGGACAGCGAGGCCCAGCGAACCAGGGGGGAGGGCAGACAGATCCCTCGCCCGGCTCTCCTCGCGGGGGGCAAGGCCTCCGTGGCCAGGCGGCGGGGCGGGCAGGGCCGCGCGATCCGCCCGTGACCCTCGCCTGCCCCAAGCCCCCGCCCGCAAGCCTACCTTCTTTGGTCTGGGCGTTGGTGATCTGGAGGTCGCAGTCGGCCGCCTTGAGCTTCTCGCGGCCCATGATCTGGCGCTTGAGGTCGCAGAGCGAGATGTGGAGCCCGTCGAAGGTGACCGTGTCATAGTTGAGCTTCGAGGAGAACTTGTAGTGCACGCAGGACATGGTGGGGCGGCCGGGGGGCGGCGCGCGGCAGAGGCGGGCGTCGGCCGGGCGCGCGGGGCTGCCGAGGCCCGCTCGGGCGGCGGCTCTCCTGCTCCTCCGCCTCCCCCTGCTCAGAGGCCGGCTCGCCCCGCCATGGCCCTCGGCGGCGGCGCGGCGGCGGCTCCCGTCAGGCGCTGCGCCGGACGCCTAGGCCTCCATCATGGCGGCGGCTTTTCCGGCCCTCCCTTTCTCCTCAGGCGCTGCGGGCCGCGCGGCCCTGGCGTCGGCCCTGCGGCCTCCCCTGGGCTCGGCTCCGCGGCTTCCTCGGCCCCTCACGGCGCTCCCGCTGCTCCCGCTGCAGCCGCCGCTCTTCCTCCTCCGCTCCGGGGTCCCCGTCGGAAAGCCGCACGGGCTGCGGAGGGAGGGAGGACAAGAAGGGGAACGGCCGCCCCAAACGCACAGCACGCCTTGGGACGCGGTGCGAGCCAGACTCCGTGCTGCGCATGCGTCACAGTGCGCCACCTTCGTCCTCACGTGACCCTGCGCATTATGACAAAGGAAGAAAAGCCGCTCTTCCGGCTGGTGTCCTTCCTCCCTGCCAAGGAGGAGCGCGCCACGTGATCCCGCGCCTTCCTCCTTAAAGGAGCAGGCGGCGAGCGCGCTTTCCCCGGGCGGCGGGGGCACCTCGGCGCGCGGGCCCTGCGGGCTGGGCCGCCCCGGAGCGGGGCGCGCGCTCGCGGCCGCAGCGGCCCCGAGGGGCGGAAGCGGGTTTTGGAGCACGCTCGCCGTGCAGCAGAGCGGTCTGCTTCCGCTTGCGGCCGCGGAGCGAGGGCTGTCCTCGTAGGAGGCGCTTCCGCGGCTGCGCGCGGGCTGTGGGATGACGCGCGAGTCGCAAATTGCAACCCGAGCATGGCATTGCACTGAAGCACGAAAAGCGGAACGCTCGCGCTGGAGCAAGTTGGGCCAGCCCGCAGAAAAGCTTGGCGACCCGCTCCGCGCGCGCCCCTGGGTTACGCGGCGCGGAGCCGCGCGCGGGGGTCTGCAGAGCCGGGCCGCACGGGATTTGGCACCGGGCGGGGCTCGGGCGCTGCTGCGGAGAAGGCCCCTGGTCGCAGCCCGAGAAGACTCCCGTGGGGGGGGCTTTCGAAGGAGGGCCCCCGATCTTAGCGCCTGGGGGGACTGCGGGTATTGTGCTCTGACCGCTACAGTTCGCACAAGCTGCTGCTTCTGAACAGCCTTCCAAGGATCTAGTTTCAGGGTTACCAAAACCTGGATTATTGAAGCCAGGCTGTTCCTATGCCAGCTGGGGCTGCTAGAAGGCACTCATGCCTTTGAGGCCCCCTGGGCCTCGGGAGACCCAGGAGGATCAAAGGTCGTTTGTACTGAGCAAACATCTTAAGACCACCATTTAATCTGCATAACGTTGTCTTTAGTTGGTTATTGTGCTATAACCCCACACACACTACCATTAAAAAGGAATCAAAATGAAAATATAATTTTGAGTAAATTTTTAAAAATCCAGAGAGCTCGGCCTGCACATGGGTTTTAGCATGGGTTATAATGGTCTTACTGAGAACTACCAGAAGTACAGGCGGGATTTCGAAGAGGGAGAGGAACTAGAGATCAAATTGCCAACATATCATGGAGAAAGCTAAGGAGTTCCAGAAAAACATCTGCTTCATTGACTATGCTAAAGCCTTTGATTGTGTGGATCACAACAAACTGTGGCAAGTTCTTAAAGACATGGGAATACCAGAGCATCTTATTTGTCTCTTGAGTAACCTGTATGCGGGTCAAGAAGCAACAGTGAGAACTGGACATGGAACCACTAATTGGTTCAAAATTGAGAAAGGAGTTCGGCAAGGCTGTATACTGTCGCCCTGCCTATTTAACTTATATGCAGAGCACATCACGAGAAAGGCGGGGCTAGCTGAATCACAAACTGGAATTAAGATTGCTGGGAGAAATACCAACAACCTCAGATACGCAGATGATACCACTAATGGCAGAAAGTGAAGAGGAACTAAAGAGCCTCTTGATGTGGATGAAAGAGGAGAGTGCAAAAGTTGGCTTGAAACTCAACATTAGGAAAACTAAGATCATGGCATCTGCTCTTATCACTTCCTGGCAAACAGATGGGGAAGAAATGGAGGTAGTGACAGATTTTATTTTCCTGGGCTCCAAGATCACCGCAGACAGTAACCGCAGCCAAGAAATTAAAAGACGCTTGCTCCTTGGGAGGAAAGCTATGGCAAATCTAGACAGCATACTAAAAAGCAGAGACATCACCCCGGCGAAAAAAGTTCATACAGTCAAGGCCATGGTTTTCCCAGTTGCAATGTATGGCTGTGAAAGATGGACCATCAGGAAGGCTGAGCGCAAAAGGATTGAGGCCTTTGAATTGTGGTGCTGGCGGAGACGCCTGCAAGTCCCTTGGACCACAAGGCGATCAAACCGGTCAGTCCTAGAGGAGATCAACACTGACTGCTCTTTAGAAGGCCAGATACTGAAGATGAAGCTCAAATACTTTGGCCACCTAATGAGAAGGAAGGACTCCCTGGAGAAGAGCCTAATGCTGGGAACTATAGATGGCAAAAGAAGAAGGGGATGGCAGAGAATGAGGTGGCTAGATGGAGTCACTGAAGCAGTTGGAGTGAGCTTGAGGACTCCGGGGAAAGGTGGAGGACAGGAAGGCCTGGAGGAATGTTGTCCATGGGGTCGTGATGAGTCGGACATGACTTCGTGACTAACAACAACAACAATCTTACATGCTAACGTATAGAAATATAGAATATGCATGCAGTTAGTGCAATGAGGGTTAGTGTGATAACTTGGGTAACACTGTTCTGCTGAAGAATCCAGAAAGGATGTTCCAAAATCCAAACTCATTTCAGTTATTTAAAAAAAAATTCCTGTGGCTCCTTGGCTTTTGGAAGCTCATTTTAGGGACAAACCTGTCTTCTGCCTCAAGGGTTACCCCAAGTTTCCAAATGTACTCTTCCTGGAGGACCGAGTGGCAAAAGCAGGGGACACTGCCCCTTTCTACAAACCACTCCCGTGGGATTTGCTTGAAAGTCAAGTGCAAAGTGGCTTAGTGTGGCTTGGGAGACCTTGGTGTTCTATGAGATCCTGCCAGAGGACCAAAGAGCAGAGGGGAGGGGCATGAAAGAGGGACACAAACCTTTGCTATGCCTGATTATTGGTCAGCACAGAGTCATTTTGCCCACACTGCATGGGTCAAGTTCACGAGAGGGCTAACTGTGTTGTGTGAACCAGCCTGGTATTTAACTATCCTACCCCAGCCACAAAATGAAGCCCTTTGCATTCCCACTAGCCTCTATGGCCAAGTCATTGTGATCATTTCACAGTCTGGGCCTTTTTCTTCCCTGCATCTATCCCTTTCGGCCCTCGTGGCCCAACAGTGCCATGACCATCTCCACCCAATTGCACATCCTCTCTGCCTCGTCTGGCCATTTCCAGAGAGCCTCTCCTGTACCTTATCTGGCGAGCACAAGCAGCTCTTTGCAAAACGGTTAGAGTGAGGTCAGTGCAACCTCTTTTCCTGATAAGAAGTAAAGGAGAGAGAACTGATGCACGCTCAGGCACACATTAGAGGGGAAAGCCATTGTTTACCGGTTTGCGTTGTGTGATGATGATGTTCGTCCATCGTTTTCGATGAGGACCTGGACATCTAACGGGTTGTGAGTTGTCCACGGTGTGTCCGCAGGTGGCTGATAAGGCCAATATGGGCACGGAGAGTTCTGCCACAAGTCAGGCAGACGTGTGGGCACCACTGTTGCAACGTTTGCGGAGCGCTCGCTTCTCTTGTGCTACAGTTGTCCTTCTGGCTTCAGAAGTTTGGCGGCCTTGGTGGCTCGGCGTGCGCCATGTCGATCGGTCTTGTGCCAGGGTCTCCCAGGAAGTGGTGTTGATAACCAGGGGCTTGTTTGGGTGCCCCAAATGCCATTGTTTGGTGCCTGTTGGTGTGGGAAGTCATAACAACAGCGGTAGAAAAGACAAAAATGGGACTGGGAAGGAAAGAGGGCTGAGTGAGTTCGTACAACATGATGCTCCACCCCGGCTACGACCACGGTGAGCTGTTGCATCGCATGCACCCATGGGCTTGTCCGGGGCAGCAGCCCATGGGCTGTCTATGGGTTGTTGTACCTCCAGTGGGCGGTTGCGTTGTCTGAGCCTGAATGAGCAGCCCTGCTGGGGATCCAGGGAACTGGCCATGGAGCTGCCTAGGAAGGCAAGCAACGTTCCTCACTGTGCTCACCACGGCGCTCCCGGGCAACTACCAGTGCCGGTCACCTGCAGAGTGCCCAAGCAGTGCTTTTCCGGCAGCATCCGTGCGAGCCCCAAGGGATTCTGGGAGGGGGCACAGAAATAGCTGTCTCAGTCAAGGGCAAAAGGCAGCAACGCTATGGAAATGGCAGGTGGCCCCCCGCACAAGCACAGAGCGTGCCAGCCGTGTCTGTGCAGAATGCCAGCCGGCCTCCTGTCCGAGGGCTGCCACTCCAGCAGCAGTTCCACTGTGGTCCTTCCTCCATGATACCAACAGTGGGTCTGCTGATACAGCGCAACATGCCTGGACACTTTCCTGCCCCCTCCCAGTTTCTAACCCTGTCCAAATCCTGCATCCAGACATCTCCTGTCCAGAGAGCCCTGGGCCCAGTGCTTGCCCACAGTTTTATTAATGACCTGGATGAGGAAGTGAAGGGAAGGATGACCAGATTTGCAGATGACACACAACTGGGTGGCATAGCTAATACCCCAGAAGACAAAAATAAAATTCAATGAGCTCTTGATGGGTTGGAGTGCTGGGCTGAAAAGGACAGACTGAAATTCAATAGGGACAAATACCAAGTTTTTCACTTCAGAAAAAGCAAATGCATCATTACGAGATGGAGAATCCTTGGCTCAATACTGCAAGAGGGAAGGATCTTGGAATTGCTGAAGATCACAAGCTGAATATGCGTCAACACTGTGATGTGGCTGTAAAAAAAGGCAAATACTATAGAAGAATAGAATTATTACTTCCACATTTATTTATTGTTTTATTTATTTGGAGTTTTTGTACGCCATCCCATTCACCTAAGCCTCAGGATAGCTTCCAACATAATAAATAAACAATCATATAAATAATACATATAAAATCTAGATTCACCCTGGCTATAGAAACTAAAACCAATAAATAATATTAACAATTATTAAAATATTGTTTAAATAAAAGGGTCTTGGCCTGGCGCCGACAAACAAATAACAACGGCACCAGGCGGCCCTCTCTGGGGAGCGCATTCCATAAGTGGGGCGCCACCGCAGAGAAAGCCCTCCTCCGGGTACTTAGCCTCCTAATGTCTTTCACGGAAGGTTTCCGGAGGAGGGCCTCTGCCGCCGATCTCGGGGCGGGAGGGCAATATGGAAGCAGGTGTTCCTTTAGGTATCCAGGTCACAAGCCATTAAGGGCTTTGCAGGTGATAACCAGCACCTTGAATT